ATATATATATATATATATATATATATATATATATATATATATATATATATATATATATATATATATATATATATATATATATATATATATATATATATATATATATATATATATATATATATATATATATATATATATATATATATATATATATATATATATATATATATATATATATATATCCGTTTATGGATAAATAAAGATCACAAGCAAAATTTTTTTCAAATAAAATCATTAGATTTTTTCTTGTATGATCTCAGCATCTTTTTCTTCAAAAAAATAATAACGCATTTTACAGTTTTATACAAAGAAAACTTTCACTCTATACATTGGCAAAGGGGGACTGTATTGGCTTATTTCTATCCAAGTAAATCAAGTTGCACGATTCAAACTGTTCTAAGTAAATGTCAAGGAAATAATTCCAATGTATTATTTATCGTTAAATCTATAATTTTTGTTGGCTTTATGCAATTTTAATATACTTGCTTAATTGAGTGAAACTGTATATTTAATATGTATTTATCCAGATGTTCGCCAGAATATGAAGTTAAAATGTATATATAATGATAAGTGAAAATTTATTATAATTATACAATCATTGTTTTCAGCGATTCGATAATATATATATATTTGAAATATAAATGATTCTATTAGCCATTATGCCTGTTGAAAATGTATCACAGCATTCTTTATTTTTCGATTTTGTTTATATAATTATATAATTATATTTTTTACTTATTTGTATAAATATATAAATCATGATGTATACACAACTTCAGCTCTGTGCGAACAGTGGAATATTTGGTTAGTTTTTAGAGTTAAGATGTAATAGCAGAAAAATTCAAAGAACATTTATATAAATAAAAAAATATTATATATTTTAGTAGATTATATGATATACTTATTAATATTATACAAATAAATATAAAAATTTTTAAGTTTTCTCTCTTCTCTAAATTAAATATTTAAAATTTCTTGGGACTTTTTTTTTCACAGGAGAAAATGTGTATATACAAACTTACTAAATTTATATTTATATTAGTTGGAATCTCTATATATTTAAGCAAAAGTATTCAAAAGTATTCTGTAATGAAATGGGGATAGAATTACAATATTCTTATTACTCCTTTCATAAAAAAAATGTTATTTATCTTTACACAAATACCCTCACTAGAATACTACACATAAGCTTAACATTAAGTGATGATCAGAGAATTTTTTATATATATATATATATAATTAATTTGTCAAAATATTAAAAAATATATATAACAAATGAAATGAAACATAATATAAAATCCATTATTTGTTTTCATAGAATGCATGTGATAATTTTTTCAACTTGTATAAGTTATCCTTATTTATGCTGTTGAAGCAGTTTTGAAATAAAAATAATATATGTATACAATGGTTTTCTATCATAATAATTTATATATGTATAGATATGACTCAACTGTTTTTCTAAAGAGATGCTTCAGTCGAAGAATTTGTTGTAACTGGTGGAAGAAAATACGAACGGACTTGACTATGTAATTGTGCTACTTCGGTATCTTCTCTCTCTAAAGCTCTAATGAGCTGTGCAAATTGTACAGTTCCTGTTTTGTGTACATACAGCAATTAATTTTTATTTTATGTTATTGGTATATTTTCATCTATATATACGCACCTTCTCTACCCTCTGGAAAACCATAATTTTTTATAACATCCATTTGAATCTGTGTCACTAATGGAAATACAAACTGCATCATTTTCAACATTTCATTGCCGGAATTTTCCTTTGCCTCTGTAAACTTTTGCAAGTTTTCTGGTGTATTCAGTGCTGTCAGGATATCTGTCAATATAGCTGTAAAAAAAAAACAAGGAAAGTTTGCTTATATATTAATTTGATATAATTTTCAATTCCAGTAATACGTGATTTTAAAATAGACTGTTTAAACTCTATCTACCTTTTGCAGTTTCTGATGTAAAACCAGGTACACTTGCCATAGTGTACACTATTTAATGTAACAAAAAGAAGGTTATGTTTTAGCGACTTATTATATGATCGCTATATATAATATTAATTTACTAATTATATGCAGTAAATTAATATATTACACAGATCGCTGTTTAATTAATTTTTGTAATTAATAAATTGTTCAAAATATTATGTAGACACACACATTAGAGCTATTTTCATATAAGTTCCAACAGTGATGTAAATACTGTCTCTTTCCAGATTATCACTCGTAATCTAATACATTTTTATTCGATAATAACTGACAACTATTCCTTTCCAGACAATATTAATGCAATTATGGTATTTTAACTTTTTTACGTATTTACTTTTTCATTTAAATGACAACCACTCGCATTTGACGTTTACTATGGCTGCGTTCCGATATTCACTGCCAATTGCCAATGGTCGCGTTCAGCAGAGAAAACTGCTTAGTAGCAATCGAATGTGATTGGTTCTTACTTTTAGAACCAACGAATCAACGTCGAGTGTTGACAAGACGATAACTAAGCGCTTTCTCTGCTGAACGCGGCCATTATGCCAATTCCCGAGAACATCAGCTGATACTGACAGACATGAAGCGCGTTATCTCGAATATCTCGATTAGTTGTACGCACGCGTATCAAATTATTATGCCTGTATCATCTGACATTCTTTAGATTACTTAAATTAGTAAAACTAAACGTGAACAATATTTTTTCCGAGCACACATTTGGGTACTCTGACATAAATTACACATATTGTATATACCAACTATTTTATTTTCAGCAAACAATCCATTTCCTATAGATTGTTCTATATATAGGTTATTTTTAAGCATTTTTAATAAAAACTTTAAGCTGTATATATTACCACAAGTCTGTTCAAAACAGTTCAATTTTTTACACTCTTTTTATATATTTGACAAGCTGTTTCTTATGTATTAGCAGAATGTGTTAAGTATTTGTAGGACTTCATTCAATCATGGGAATGAACCACGATCAAACGTTTTTACACATACTTCGTGAAGAAAAAAACATTAATAATTTCTTGGATGCCTTTTTTGGATTTTTATACAGGTGGTAAGTATGCTATTAAAAACATCAATATTTTTATCCTATTTTACCTTGTATTTTTAAATGCTCTAAATCGTTCTTAATAATCAAATCTCTTTTCATATAATAACATTTTACAAAAATATATTATAATTTCTTCTTGAACAATGATATTTTACAACAGCACAGACTTTTACGTTGAATCAAACTCGGAACAAAAATTAGGCTTTCCACCTGGAGTAGCGGAGAAACTTGTATCAAATAGCATATACAAGTGGAAAAATATTGCATCAACTTTACAAAAGACAATATCGTCTGTAAAGGACAACACAATCAAGAATAGCAGTAGCATATCACATTCAAATCAGTTAACTTTGACAGACAATGAAAATTGTAGACTTGTTCCACCAGCTGTGCAAGAAATTGAAATTGACTCGTGCAGTGAATCTACTAACATTAATCTACCTTCTGCACAATCATTGAAGACAGATAATGTATCAGATAGTTATAACGGAGCTGTAAGAGACAATTATATTTGGACACAGACACTGAATGACTTGGATGTACTTGTAAAGATACCAGAACATGTCAAGATATCCAAAGATACAATCAGAGTTAATATAAGTTCGGACGAAGTCAAAATCGATGTCAAGCCTTTGAATTCTTCAACAAATTTTAAATGGGATAATATTTTCAATGGCAAGCTTAGTTTTAAGATACGGAAAGATGAATCTATATGGAATATTGAAGCTGGAAAGCACATAAATGTATATTCAATATGCATAAGATATCTGATTTAACTTACTGTAACATCGAATTTGTATTTAACTTGTAATATTCATTTATTTATCTGTGATTATAGATTCATCTTGAGAAAGCTACTGAAAGATGGTGGGAAGCCTTAATAGTCGATGAACCAAAAATCGATTTGAGCAAGATTGACTGTTCAAAACATTTCGATGATATGATACCAGAAGAACAGATGAAAGTGCAGAAATTGATGTGGAATCAGCAACAAAAGCTTTTAGGCAAACCGACGTCTGAGGAAATTGTAATTATCTATGTTTTGTCTAATATATAAAAAAAAAATAATGAATTTCTGAACAATTTGTAATTGTATTTATAGAAGATGGAGACTACTTTGAAACAGGCATGGAATGCGAAAGGATCACCTTTTCAGGGTACACCTTATGATCCTACAATTTTGAAATATAATTAATGTATCTAAACGTAATTAAGTTTCTTCTTATTTATGATTTTTATAAACATCGGAGATATTGAAAAAAATTAATGTAATACATATATTTATGTATTACATACATACATATATATATATTAATTTTATTGTCTTATAGAAATTTCTATACTTTGATATTTTACTTAAGAAAGAAAAAAAGAGAGAAAGAAATATATTTTTAATATTATAAAAATTATGGAAAAAACACGCGCGTAAAATATTTTTAAGTAAAATTAATTCAATTGTTTATATATATTTTGAGAGAAGAGGTTTTTTATTTTAATTTAAAACAATATTGAAATAATCAAAAATAAGTTATAAAATAGGATTTTCAAAAGTTAAATTACAGATTTCCAATTATCTATTGATTAAGTTATAGGTTACGATATAAAATGAAATTTTGTCTATTGATTATGATTTTAGAGATCTAATTAAACTTTTCAATTTTGTCTTCTAAGAATTCAATTATATTTGTCAGGATTTTCGCAAAATATGATATATTTTAAATATTTTCAAAACTACGAAAATTGCAAAATTATTATGATCTGAAATTTGAAATTTATTTTTTATATATTTATATTTGAAAAATAGAAAATATATTCTCATTTTCTTTGCATTATAATATTTCATAAAGTTATTTTTCCATGTCGAGATATAAGTCATCGGATATCGCGGTATTTCCTTTTAGGAAATACACGTCTGCGAAAGCAAAGAGCAATGCTTCTTGAAAGAACTCGGCAGCGACACCCTGCGAAATCATGAGCGATCCAAGAGTTCACAGAATGCGAAGAATTCTACGCTTTTCCCCGACGTTTACGCTAACTTTATCTCACGGTGGTGGTGGGATCGCGCTCGCTATAGGGACGAGGCAGGAGCGGTTCGACGCGAGTAGACGGCAGGTACACAGCCTCGAAGAAACTGTTCTCATTTCGTAGAACAACTTTCCTAAGCGTTTACCTCGACCGTATCCAAACGGGTTTTCATAGATATACGGGCGACAATAAATGTCGCACGCATATATAAACATGTATTGATATGAAATCCATATATTGTGTTTTTACACTAGCGTTATCGAAACATGTGCCCCATATCACATGTTATTAAAAAAATATCTAGAAGTCTATGAACCACGTAAATGTGCAATTCGATATAACACAAGATTTGAAAGAGATATAATTTTGGAGAATTCAATTCTCGATACGCTGCGACTACAGATTAATTTATTTTATATCGTTACGAATAAATATGATCATTTGCAAGCATCATGGCATCGAAAAAATTTGGAATATATCATAGTCGTAGATCTCGTTTCGATCGCTGGATAATAACACTTTTGCAACAAATTGTGAAATGATGGTCGGTATCGCGGAGTTTCGTCGAGTCTCAGGAATTTCTGCGAAAAGATAGCGGATGTTTTTTTCCGAATTAAGAGATCGCCACCGCTTCCCCAAGCTTGATACCAGGCTGCCAGGTGCAGCAGGTCGCATGCGTTGAGCACCGCTGCGGATAAAACACAGGTAATATACCTGCCCGAGGCTACGAGTCGGTCCCCACCTGGGGTCCGGTTCTCTCTCCTTGCTCTCTCGGCCGGCTCTCGGCTGGCTTTTCTTCGAGGCGAGTCGGGCCGTTAGTATCGTTGCCGTTGCGAGAGGAATGATGGTGTGATGTGCATCGCGGCGGAGCACGCATCCTGAAGGACGTACTCGTTGTATATATCGAGATCCCGGAGTCCGTCCGGGTCGATCGATTCCCTCATAATCCCTTCCTTCGAGTCGCGGTGAATTTCCCGCGGGATCGGCGCGTATCGCGTTCTCCAAAATCTTCAACGCGCTCGCGGTCCAGCTCTCCTCTCTATCCAAAAGCCGTGTGGTATCGCTTTGCGTGGCAACTCTTCCTTCCCCGTGCGCGAATGCTCACGTAAACGGTAGTAACCACGTAAGTCGCGCGGTGAGTGTGAGGTGAAGGTAACGGAAGACGCGAAGAAGAGACCGAGGAAGAAGGAGAGACATCAGAGATAAAATACCAAGATGCCGTGCTCCGCGGTGACGTTGTCCCTCGCCACCATAACCGGTATCATCGCCACTGCCCTTCTGGCGATCGCCTTTTCCACGGACAACTGGCTCTATACCGAGGTCAAGCGCGCCCAGATCCAGGTTTGTAGCGATGTCTTTGATATCTAAGAAAAGTGCCAAGGGTGAGATACGAAAATTGAAGGGTACGATAATCATTGCGGTATGAATGTGTGTATGTGTGTGATCTAAACTTGATTACTTTGCTATTATTTATGGAAGAAGATATTTTCTTAAACATTGATAAATATGCGTGCTCCAAGTTCAAATGTTTATTTACACACGAGATGTTCTCGCATAAACAAACATTAGTTAAGCCAAAGGTTGATTCATTATATTTTTCTCATATTATCGTTAGAAAAAGATATAAAATCAAATGAAAGTATGGATTAATTTTAGAACTAATATTTGTAGAAATAATCCTATAAAAAAGAGATTAAGAAATATTTTATATTTTGAAAATATCTAAACAAAAAAGATATTCATTACTTAATATAACAAATACTTTATTAAAAATATAGTTATTTTATAATAATTTTATAATAAATTTGTTTGACTTTGTTGAACTTAAAATATAAGAGAAAATATGTGTGACACAAATTTATAAAGCATATTCTATATAAAATATGCTTTTGCTCTCCATATTTTTCCTTAAAAAAGCAAATTGTTTTGTTTCTATCTTTTATTAAAGCATTTTTAGGACCACATATTTCTCCGCTCCAAATTTAAAATACATTAAGATAACCATTGTATTGCAACCAGAACAATCCAAAATGAAATCCGTTCTTTTATCTTTTCTGCATTGTCTGCATTCGAAACAGATGTATAGTCAGGGAGAAAAAAAAAACAAGCTTGAAGAACTATTAAAATACGCAGCTTTTTAAACAGAGCAGATCTTTGCGTTAGGAATATGCGAGAACCTGACATTTTCGACGTTTCATAAAAATGAAAATTTACGAAAAAATTATATCCAATATAAAATTCATGCATCATGGAAGATTCCAAGATAGAATATACGTGACTTTTTGGGACGTTTTGTGTGTATCTTGCAGGATCTTTTCTGGGAAGAAATTACAATGGAAATTGTAATCTCCTATAACTCGTGTATAACATGGTTTCATGTTGCATTAACGTACGTAGTTTGAGTTGCATTGAAAAAATGTAAATGGATTGCGAAAACGATGACGAAATTTTCTGATGATGTTCTACGTGCCTCGTCGTGGAACGTCATCAGCGTCGTTGTTAAAGCTAACTCGATTCAGCCGCGAACGTGCCCCTATTTTGTACTCTCAGCGCAGCGCTTATTCAAATTTTGATTAAACTCCCACTGTGTGCACGCGGATAGTCCGCGGCTTGAATGAAGGCTTCGATCATTTATGAAAATGGACACCTTCCTGTCCGAAGTTAGATCACATCCGGATCTCATTATTCCCGAGGACCGAAGCTGTCATCAACTAGCGTGCTCGTGAATTTAATTTTTTTCTACTTCCTGTGCAAAACATCGATCCTTAAAGATACGAACACAGAATGCTGTAACGAGACTCCACTGTGATGTAGCTGTAGTTTTTGAAATTTATACGCAAAGTTTATTTTTTTCTAATTCTCCTTCTTATTTTTATTAATAATATAGTATTTTTTTGCTCGTTTAATAACGTGTAATTATATTACATGGTAATATCCTTAATCATTATAATTTCATTCATGATCACACAACGGATATTTATTATTATATAACGAGTTATTGTTCTCATTATAGTAACTGCATATTATTATTATTACTATTATCAATCTTTTGAATAATCACAAACAATCCATTTAAACTGCAAAGCTATTTAAAATATAGACGCGCGTCAAAATAAGCGATTACTTAAGTGTATCTAATTTAAAGATTAAATGCATACTTAAATGCAATTTATAAACTGATGTAGTGTAGAATCTCACATTTTATTTAGTTTTGCGACAGGATAATTACATTCCTGGAAATCGAAAATTTTAGGGAAGCTATAGTAAACAAATAAAGTGTATATCATAAAAAAATAATTTGTATTTACTTTTCAGAGACTCTAGTAATTTGTAATATATAAACAAAGGAATATAAAAAATTAGTCTATAGGAGTTTCCTCAGTTAAAATACACAGGATATTACGATTGACTAATTGCGTGCGCAAAAATGGATTAATAAAAAGTAAGTTTCTATTAATTATAGTAAGGCTGTGAAAGGAAATAATAATTAACGGAGATTACGTAATCTATTTAGTTTTAACAAAAATGCATTTTTTTCTTGAGAAAGGGAAGGTAGGAAATGGAATTCTTCCTTGTGACTTCCGCTGTCTTGTTGTGGTTGAATGTGCGTGTCAAAGACCAAGTTTACCCTCTAGGATTACTGAAAGTCGAACGGATGTTATTCTCGCAAACTTTTCATGGAATCTACTCGAGAGGATGTCTCTGGTATTTGTATAGAGAAGGGAGAAGGCATACCAACGAATACTAGTGAGAAACGTTAATTCAAATTCTTATCCAATTTTTCTTAATAAAAAATATTAGTTAATATCATTGCAGATCCTTGAATGTTTAAGTTTATGTTGAGAAGAGAATTACGGAGACAAGAAAAAGATTTTCCTTTTTTTGAAACAAATATCAAGTTAACTAAATATTTTAAATATTTAATGCGATAAATTATGAACAGTCGAGTTTTAGTGATTGCGACTATTGAAAAAATTATGCGATGGTAAAGTTTATTGTTGCACCATATAAGTAATGTATGCAACCAGCTTTGTATTTATTTAAAGGATGACTATGCTTCTTTCGTATGCTAATTGTAAGCAGTTTTTTTTTTCTCGCAATAAATTCTTTCGAAATGAGAGTTTGAGATACTTCAATGCTTATGCGTTCCGGATGTGCGTTTGGAACAGCTGATTCGGAGATTTTTTAAATTTTATTTTTCCACAACAAGTAATAATTTTTAATCTAGGATTAATAATTATTAATCTAAGATTTATGATGTCACAGGAAGTTTTTTAAATTAATCTATTGGCATCGCGTGCGAGTTACGTTACGACTTGACAATTTAAAACGCAGGTGCAGCTCACCGCATATAAAATATTATACATTGATGTAACTTCCTCTCTCTCTCTCTCTCTCTTCACGCAATAATGCAAATAACATATTTACAAACAATATGAAATGTACGGATACCATAGGCAGGTAGACATTCTACATGTTATTCAAGCATGCATATGTTATTATTCTCAACATGATCGTTACAACAGAAACTCCGTCAATGATTTCACCATTAGCGATTGATACGCGATGGAAGTAGAATATTTTGCGATATTTTATTTACTACGAAGAGAAACGTATTTATATATACATCTCGTGTGTTTGAAATTACTGCGAAGTCGTTATTCCAAGCAGCTGAACCTGCCGCTGATTAAATCGGATTATCTCGTCGTTAGCGGAATCTCATTTCACGGGTATCCCGTTCCTCTTTGAGCTTTTCTCTTTCTCTCGACTGTTGAGATCCTCTCCTCTCCTCTCTCTTCTCCTTACGCTTCTGTCTCGATCTCTCGCCATCTCGTCCCGAACGATTCTCGTTCAGAACGCGATCGACATTCCGAGCCGCGCCCATTCTCAGCACATGGTTCAACAAGTCTTGCGTTTAACGTTCGATGCACAAACGCATATACTTTTGCGCCATTCAAACCTGCATAAATGGACAGCATGATAGGTCTATCCAGAGATTTATTTTTATAAAAAGAGTATAATTTTTTAATTTTATTTTTAACAATTATATTTTATAAACAAAAATGCCATGATATATTTTAAAAAATTTAATATTTTAGCGAATATCATAATCCTGTGTAGACTACGAACTCGCGCGAGCTCTGAAGAAGAAAAGTTGCTTTCAATAATAATCCACCACTATTATAGTGGTGGATTAGCAATGGTTATAGCAATTCTCTCTGCTAAAAATCTTTTGCTTTCTTTTATAAATGATTTCAGCTTTTATTTGAAATTTATACATTGATTTTTTTTTTTGCTTTTGCGTGACTCGACCATTTCGCTTAGAGTCGGCATGCGGAAAGAAGACCCACTAATCCACTTCGATGGATCAGCCACGCTACATCCGAAAGGATCTCGCGCCGCGATTCCGCGAGGAAGCGCGAAGTGCATCGCCACATAACGTGTGTACTACGCTCTGTTATTTTCGCGCCTTTTATCCTTGACGGACGCGCACGCATCGCGATTCCTCAACAATCATACCTCGCCTCCTCGCTTAGGATAGAGACAGGTTGTCGGGGGAGAACCGCCTGTACAGTTATGTCTTACGCATAAGGTGTGAGCGAATGCGTGCATTCGAATGTCTGCGAGCAGAGATGAGTAAAAAATAATATTTGAATAAACATACTGTTTGAACTAGAAAATAAAGATATATTTAAAAGAAAACTCCGTTTCTCTTCTCCATTTTTCGAATTATAAAAAATTAATGTAAAATATAATAATTTATTTATATATATATATATAAATTCTTTTCTAATTTTTTTCTTACTACATAATATTTAAAATAATATTTGAAATGATCAATAAAAGTTCGAATATTGATTCAAATAAGAATTTCTCCGAATAATTAAGATGATAATTTTTCTAAAATTATTATCTTGATTATTGCGCTTTAAATATATCTTATGTATTTATATTTATCTTAACGAACAATATAAATATTTTCAAATACTATTTTATTTGAACGATAAACGGTATTTGAATGATTATTTTCAATTATCTGTATTTAAAATGTGCCCACAATTGCGAGTAGGATTCAAGGCGATAATTGCACAGGCGTTGCGATGCAGCCTCGACGAACATGCCGATTAACGGGAAGACCGCGTGTAAATTCCTGATATTAACGAATCCCATCAATAAGGATGGAATCGAAGACAACCGACAATTATTAAGTTAAGAAGATTTAAATACAGCAATTCCCTGAAGGACAATCTTAAAGCAAAAGATAGGACTTGTATTCTTAACGAGTTTTAACGGTTTCGATGTCCCATTTATATTAAATGTAATGATAGATACACTATAGATATTGCCCCTTTTCACAAAAGACATGTTATATTAAGAAAAAAACTTTTAATATTCGAAAGTAGGAAGAGGAAGAACAAGCTGCCGTGTGAAAGGGAGATAACTAATTAATACGACTGGTATGCAGCAATTTTAATAGAAATGTTTTTCTTGGAAAGGTTACAGATAATAAAACTGGTTTTAGAGAGAAATTGATCCTCTAGCGCATTATTACGTCCAATTCTTCAGAGAAGAGAGGGAATTTGGGAGATCAAATATATTTTTTATTTTATCTCGCGCATCTGAAAAACCTTACGTTTTCTTCAGCTTCTTGTATCTTACAAATCCAATATTATCACTGCGCAATAATTTTCGCCTCTTGCCGTTTTAATACTAAATTATTTATAATGAGCGCGCGTGCATAATTAAATCGCGATGCATGTAAAATCCTGGCGGCAAGATGGCTCAATTGCATTGATTACATCGTTCGCGTATCCTTGTCTATTCGACGGCATAAAAGAGCCTGTTTAGCAGTTATCGTGTGTGCACAGTAGCGCGTTACACGCGACGTGGTATTATGTTCATCAAGTATAGTCAACTGTACTTTCATTCGAGAGCCGGTGACGTGGCGAGCTGGGTGCGCGAAGAAAGGAATGCACGCAGTTAAATTCATTTTAATATTCTCGACACAGAGACAAATATAAATAGATTTTATAAATAGAATTTTAGGATATTAACCCTCTCGATCAAAAAAAGCGAGCAAACATATTTCGATAGTTTAAGTATTTAAATACAAAGTTACACAAACGCAAGCTTTATTAAATTAGAAAATTATGGAAATGATCATTTACGAAATTTTGTGGTGTTGTAAATTACGTCAATTGTAATTTATTCAGTAAATACGAATTGTTTATTTCTTGATCGTTCACATAAATTTAGATGAGCCTGTAAATTGTATTAATGAATTAAAGGGATCGTCATATCGAGCCGGAAAACTCTTCAAGGCTGCGATTCGCAATCCGCGCGATGCTTTTTAAAGATTTTGAATGGCGTAATGCGGCTTCGTACACGAAACGTTCCAGAGAAACTCGAGTATTGCACGAATATTCTCTTCCCGTCCTGCTCAATGTGTACTGATAAAAATCATCGATGAATCTCAGCGTGCTTTTTTATCATCGTGCGAAAATGCAATGTCTATATATTTGATATCCTAATTTATCTATGATAATAAGTTTGTTATTCTATATATACAGATATAGATTTTCTCTTTTGATATCTGAGAAAACATTGACTTTTATCGTGATGTAAAGAACATAGCGTGTAAGGATTTATATAAGAATATAAATGTAGGAAGTATAAATGTATCAACCAATATGACAGCTGTCACATTGATCGCATTTAGCAGAGACAACAGTTATGCAACCGCTAAGTGCCAGTCGAAATTGATTAATATACAACCTCCAATAAAGAAGGAAAGAATACTAATGTAAAAAGAAGAGGAAGAAAAATCTAATAAAATATTTACTAACGAAATATTTCAGTTTCTGTTTATCTTCAAATATCTCCAATACAATATTAAATTATATTAATTAGCTCTAAATTCTACCAAGCTTTACATTTGCGTCATTTCTTACATTGCGTCACTCGTATGTGATTAGTAAAGAATAAATTAATAAAATAATTTTAAAATTAATTAGACCGTATCATACATAGCATTATTGCATGAGAAATAAATACGAAAAAAATATTTATATGTGTTTTATACATTTAGAAATAAAAATTTATAAATTGCAAACTTTAATGCTCGATTAGCATAAATGTTGTAAGAACGTTGATAAATATGCAAAACTGCGCAGGATTGTATTTGCCAGTTGAACAATCGAGTCGCATCGTTTCACTATTTGACGTGACAGATTAATGCGGAAAGTCCTTAAGTATATATCTCGAAATGGACTAAATTACATCAATTGTCATTCAAATGAAAACGGTGCCTCCATAAACCCGCATTATTCACGATCAGTCCCCTTAAATGATTATTGCACGATGATAGATTATTCAGACGAAATGATGCAATCGTAAATCGCGCACAGTGTCGGAAAAACGATCGTGGCTTGTGAGAGGCCAACGAGCTAGAAGAGATCGATGAAAAATTCAAATGAAAGTTGCCGTACATAACACAAAACGGTTCGTTAGCTAAAAATCTCGTTGCGAGCAAACGAGGCAAAAAAATCTCCTTGAGACATTTTAATATGAATAAATTCATAATCGAAATGATAACGTCGCGCGATAAATTATACCGAGACTTATAAAATAATATATACTTCTTCCAGTATCGAGAATGACAAGATATAGGTTCGATGAAAGCTATTTCCCTTATTTCTACAAGTATTTATAAATATTTTGCACTATCTTTTAGTGAGAGGCCAACGAGCTAGAAGAGATCGATGAAAAATTCAAATGAAAGTTGCCGTACATAACACAAAACGGTTCGTTAGCTAAAAATCTCGTTGCGAGCAAACGAGGCAAAAAAATCTCCTTGAGACATTTTAATATGAATAAATTCATAATCGAAATGATAACGTCGCGCGATAAATTATACCGAGACTTATAAAATAATATATACTTCTTCCAGTATCGAGAATGACAAGATATAGAGGTTCGGTGAAAGCTATTTCCCTTATTTCTACAAGTATTTATAAATATTTTGCACTATCTTTTAGTTGCTACAATTATCACTTTGCTTTACGAATGTAAAATCGTAAATACAAATATATAATATTGCATAACCATGATGCGGTAAATTAGAAATCCATAATGCACTTATTGAGATTAAGGAACCAGTTGTAATGGAATCGTAAAAAAAAAAGTACACGTGATACAACGAAAAATTTTGCGATCTTTTCAATAAAATTGTAATCTAGGAGATGCAAAAATAATTTCCAAAAAAGGTACGAGAGATGTGTACGATTTCTCATTCTGTTATCGATAATGTAATTATCTCCATTGAGCTTCACGGCGGGTTTTCCTTTCTATGTCAAAGAAATCAGCCGGGCTTGACGATGTTCCCGCGCTTGAGGCGAGCAATGGTGAAATAACAACGTGAAAGCAGAATGGCGTGGCCTAGACAAGATTGAGAGATTCGTCGGTATCCTCCTTTTTTTCCCTTTTCTCGGGAGCGACAAATGATAATAACTCTTGATACGCACTGTCACGAAAGGATTCACATATTGAATTTCCAGACAACACCTGTTGCTCGTAGAAATTTCAGAGCGAGGAATATACTCTCTTCTCGAGCAACATCACATAGTTCTTCAAAATATTAATATATTTCTCGTTTCTTTAAGATATCAATTTCGCAAAATTTTTCGCTATATCTCGGATACTTTTTTTGATTTTGTTACAACGAACTCTTTAATCTCAATGCGTGCGTTTTGAACAGATTTCGCCGCATCATCCTTTTGCAATGTTGTATATTTGTTTCACAGCTTTATATTTGTAAAACAAAATGATAATTGTAGCAACTAGACGGTTATGCAAATGCAACTATAATTATAAATAGCAATAATGTATATTAAACTAAAAAATTTTCTTTTGTTCCCTCATCTCTTGTTTTGCATTTCATAGTATAATAACTTTTGCCAATTAAGTCGACAATATTGATATAAGATTTTTTGTTGTATACGTTTTATTATATTATAAAATACTATTTTAATTGTATTTTAACTGTCAATGAAATGAAAGCATTCTGGTGAATATATGCATCATTCACCTTGCGCATTCTTTCAAAAGAACTATTCGGAACGCATGGGTGTTCGTCAAGGTTAACCTGCTGGAGTTTGCATCAGCGGCGTACGTCATGCTCGTATGATTATTAGCTGGTAATCGAGGAAGAACGTAGGCGATGGAATTTCTCAAACATTATTGATCGCCACGTTGTTATTGACAAACGCAACAAGAATGCATTTCTCGCACAAAGCAATTACATCTGTCGTCCAAGTTTTAAAAACGACAAAATCCGATTATATATAACAATTTATACTTTGTATAATATTTTTCAAATTCCAATAATTTTTAAGTAATTGAAAAAAAAATTAGAAAGTAAGAATCTGATCGTAAATCAGATTAACTAAGTTCTATAAAAAACATAAATAAATCACTTAAGGAGAAATTGCAAAGAGATGAATATAAGAGAGAAATGCAAAGATATTAATATCGTCTGCGAAAACGAATGGAGTTTCGAAAGAGAACTCTTTCTTTCGCATTGTATACATTTTATCAGCGATCGGCGAACAGTGGATCGAGCGAAATGTTTCGTGGGAAGCGACGTATGTGTATGCAAAAAGAACGAGCACGCGTGTTTTCGCTTCTGCGGAAAACGTTTCTTTCCGTTGTCAACGGTCGCGATTCATGCGTTAAGATTTCCCGCGTAGCGCGGTGTATTATTATACTTTCTACCAGACGTTGAATCGGGAAATCGAATAAGAACTTTCTAGAAAATAGATCGTAACAATCGCTGTGCAGTCGATTCCTGTTCGCGCCGAGGACAATCCGAGATTATATCGTTGAGCGATCACTGCCGGAGGAGATCGATACATGTCCTATATGATATGAAATTGCATCAAATTTCGAGGGCGGTATGCGAAATACATCCACGGACATAAGAAAGTACACGGAACTTGTATCGACACGCATGAATAAACGCTCTCTATGGTTTTTATATAGGCTTCATGGGCGAGCTCTTCGCGAAATATCGATGCATCGCAACGTGAAGTAAAGTGAGGACGGAATCGTTTTCTCTACTTGTAATTTCATCCATCTGTGCACAAGAAGTTGGTAATTCTTTATCGTGACTGTAAATTTATGCGAGTGTTATATACGCTCTATATAATAATTTGTATAATTATATCGATTTTTTGATAATTACTTACCGATTCTCTAATCAGTTTTGAATCGACAGGAAAAAGGGTCAAGGAAACATCAAGGAATTCATTTATTTAATTGTCGATTTTTCACTATTGTACATTTTTTTGGGGCTAAGCTTCGAAATAAAGTTTTGCGTCACTAAATTGGTAAAGAATTGGTTGAATTTACAATTTAATACACACACAAGACTTAAGAAAGCAGAGTTGCTTGTAATCGGTTTTTAGTCGTCTCTGAATTGAATGTAGTAAAATGTAGTTAAATGAGCACGTGGCGTCCCTTTCACTAAAAATACGAGAGAGATTCTGACAGATGTTATATCGCGAGAGAACACGATATTCTTACTTTCTAACGATAATAATATTTTCGCGAAAGGAAGAGCGCATACTTCATCTGCATTCGAAAATACATGCACAGTAGTAGCTCTCTCCATTAAGGCAAATTATTCGTCGATGAAAAATTCAAATGAAAGTTGCCGTACATAACACAAAACGGTTCGTTAGCTAAAAATCTCGTTGCGAGCAAACGAGGCAAAAAAATCTCCTTGAGACATTTTAATATGAATAAATTCATAATCGAAATGATAACGTCGCGCGATAAATTATACCGAGACTTATAAAATAATATATACTTCTTCCAGTATCGAGAATGACAAGATATAGAGGTTCGGTGAAAGCTATTTCCCTTATTTCTACAAGTATTTATAAATATTTTGCACTATCTTTTAGTTGCTACAATTATCACTTTGCTTTACGAATGTAAAATCGTAAATACAAATATATAATATTGCATAACCATGATGCGGTAAATTAGAAATCCATAATGCACTTATTGAGATTAAGGAACCAGTTGTAATGGAATCGTAAAAAAAAAAGTACACGTGATACAACGAAAAATTTTGCGATCTTTTCAATAAAATTGTAATCTAGGAGATGCAAAAATAATTTCCAAAAAAGGTACGAGAGATGTGTACGATTTCTCATTCTGTTATCGATAATGTAATTATCTCCATTGAGCTTCACGGCGGGTTTTCCTTTCTATGTCAAAGAAATCAGCCGGGCTTGACGATGTTCCCGCGCTTGAGGCGAGCAATGGTGAAATAACAACGTGAAAGCAGAATGGCGTGGCCTAGACAAGATTGAGAGATTCGTCGGTATCCTCCTTTTTTTCCCTTTTCTCGGGAGCGACAAATGATAATAACTCTTGATACGCACTGTCACGAAAGGATTCACATATTGAATTTCCAGACAACACCTGTTGCTCGTAGAAATTTCAGAGCGAGGAATATACTCTCTTCTCGAGCAACATCACATAGTTCTTCAAAATATTAATATATTTCTCGTTTCTTTAAGATATCAATTTCGCAAAATTTTTCGCTATATCTCGGATACTTTTTTTGATTTTGTTACAACGAACTCTTTAATCTCAATGCGTGCGTTTTGAACAGATTTCGCCGCATCATCCTTTTGCAATGTTGTATATTTGTTTCACAGCTTTATATTTGTAAAACAAAATGATAATTGTAGCAACTAGACGGTTATGCAAATGCAACTATAATTATAAATAGCAATAATGTATATTAAACTAAAAAATTTTCTTTTGTTCCCTCATCTCTTGTTTTGCATTTCATAGTATAATAACTTTTGCCAATTAAGTCGACAATATTGATATAAGATTTTTTGTTGTATACGTTTTATTATATTATAAAATACTATTTTAATTGTATTTTAACTGTCAATGAAATGAAAGCATTCTGGTGAATATATGCATCATTCACCTTGCGCATTCTTTCAAAAGAACTATTCGGAACGCATGGGTGTTCGTCAAGGTTAACCTGCTGGAGTTTGCATCAGCGGCGTACGTCATGCTCGTATGATTATTAGCTGGTAATCGAGGAAGAACGTAGGCGATGGAATTTCTCAAACATTATTGATCGCCACGTTGTTATTGACAAACGCAACAAGAATGCATTTCTCGCACAAAGCAATTACATCTGTCGTCCAAGTTTTAAAAACGACAAAATCCGATTATATATAACAATTTATACTTTGTATAATATTTTTCAAATTCCAATAATTTTTAAGTAATTGAAAAAAAAATTAGAAAGTAAGAATCTGATCGTAAATCAGATTAACTAAGTTCTATAAAAAACATAAATAAATCACTTAAGGAGAAATTGCAAAGAGATGAATATAAGAGAGAAATGCAAAGATATTAATATCGTCTGCGAAAACGAATGGAGTTTCGAAAGAGAACTCTTTCTTTCGCATTGTATACATTTTATCAGCGATCGGCGAACAGTGGATCGAGCGAAATGTTTCGTGGGAAGCGACGTATGTGTATGCAAAAAGAACGAGCACGCGTGTTTTCGCTTCTGCGGAAAACGTTTCTTTCCGTTGTCAACGGTCGCGATTCATGCGTTAAGATTTCCCGCGTAGCGCGGTGTATTATTATACTTTCTACCAGACGTTGAATCGGGAAATCGAATAAGAACTTTCTAGAAAATAGATCGTAACAATCGCTGTGCAGTCGATTCCTGTTCGCGCCGAGGACAATCCGAGATTATATCGTTGAGCGATCACTGCCGGAGGAGATCGATACATGTCCTATATGATATGAAATTGCATCAAATTTCGAGGGCGGTATGCGAAATACATCCACGGACATAAGAAAGTACACGGAACTTGTATCGACACGCATGAATAAACGCTCTCTATGGTTTTTATATAGGCTTCATGGGCGAGCTCTTCGCGAAATATCGATGCATCGCAACGTGAAGTAAAGTGAGGACGGAATCGTTTTCTCTACTTGTAATTTCATCCATCTGTGCACAAGAAGTTGGTAATTCTTTATCGTGACTGTAAATTTATGCGAGTGTTATATACGCTCTATATAATAATTTGTATAATTATATCGATTTTTTGATAATTACTTACCGATTCTCTAATCAGTTTTGAATCGACAGGAAAAAGGGTCAAGGAAACATCAAGGAATTCATTTATTTAATTGTCGATTTTTCACTATTGTACATTTTTTTGGGGCTAAGCTTCGAAATAAAGTTTTGCGTCACTAAATTGGTAAAGAATTGGTTGAATTTACAATTTAATACACACACAAGACTTAAGAAAGCAGAGTTGCTTGTAATCGGTTTTTAGTCGTCTCTGAATTGAATGTAGTAAAATGTAGTTAAATGAGCACGTGGCGTCCCTTTCACTAAAAATACGAGAGAGATTCTGACAGATGTTATATCGCGAGAGAACACGATATTCTTACTTTCTAACGATAATAATATTTTCGCGAAAGGAAGAGCGCATACTTCATCTGCATTCGAAAATACATGCACAGTAGTAGCTCTCTCCATTAAGGCAAATTATTCGTCGCGATTTTGTTCTTGCCCTTTCACTTTATCATCGTTAATAACGTTGGCATTTCACAACATCAAATCAACATCTTTTTTGTTATCCTTAGTATCTGTCTATTCAACGAATATTCTTCTTCCTGTTACAGCAATACGCGAGCAAGCATGCCGAGCAGAGCCACTTGGTGGAGCAGATGAACAAGAAATATTATTATTACACGAGGACTCAGGGTCTATTCAGGATATGTTATCCCAAAGAAAGACCACCGACAGGTAAAATAAAAATTCCAAAATAAATAATTTAGTAATTAAACAATCGTACAAGTTTAATAAAAAAAATTATACGGTTAGACTTGTTATTTCGAAAAGGGCTCAAGATGAAATCCGTAGTCCGCGCTAAATACTTCCGATATTATTTAACTTTGCAACTACATATATTTATCCTTATCAAGCTTGTTTTAATTAAATTTAATTATTTCTTATTAAAATTAACACCATTTTTTCTGCTATCTAGTATTTACAGAATAATTAAAAAAATAAAAAAAAGATTGGACAGTTGTAGGTCTCTTATCGCATTTAATTATCTACATTATTTACATTATTTTATAATATATGGTAGAATAAATATATGTGCATAAATGTGTTAAATAAAGAACATTGTAAATAATTACTGAGACTCGATTTTCCGTCTTTGAGCAAAATTCGGGATTACATTTGCATTCCAAGATCGACAAATTCTCTCGAGTTTGACGTTCAGTGACACTTCTTACGCGGCCTTTAGGAAACTTTCTACGTTACGATCTCGTAATGTCGTAGGTTATCCGATCCCACGTAATAGGTTAACAGTTTATAATCGACCGCACAAACGCGCGCACAATCTTTGGAGAAAGGTGCATTTTCTCTCGATAGCTCCGGTGCAGTGCATCGTGGCGCTTTCTCATCCTAGGATCCGTTACCGTGCATAATTCAGCATTATGCGTTTGTGTGAACAATGTTAACATACTACGTCGTATGAATAAAATATAGCGAACGCTTTCTTTTTTATCCGTCGAAACAAATATTTCCAAAATTTGAGTAAAAAATATATACAAAGAGACATTTATAAAATTATCTCTATTTTGTAGGAATAAAAAATCTTAAAATCTTAAAAAAATAAAAAGCAAAATGTAATATTATTTCAAAGTGGCGAATTTGTCGAGTAGGAAATTTTATCAAAAAAATTAATCGATACTATTTCTGAATAACGTATACATCGATTTTCCAAGTATCGGATACATCCGTTAGCTGGTTATAACACAAAAAAAGCATATCATACGATGCCAACCGCACTATTTTCCAGACACCATTTCGAACGAAATACTTAAATAACAATATGAAAAAAAAAAAATAATGAACATAAAATTCTATCTTCGAGCAAAACCAATTTATGCGAAGTTTTTCTATCGGTTTCAACCGCGAGAATCCTCATACTTAATGGACGACAAGACTTCCCTGGCTCGAGAATTGCTAGGTAATTTTTTTTTCAGAGCACACCTCGTAAGTGGACCGTTGCGATCGCGGTCGTTGCGAAATAATCGACGTGCCGATCGATCGACCGATCGCCTGCGTATTAATGCTTTACAAACACAAGCCGTATCCGAGTTGATTGCGAGAAAAGAGAATGGTTTTTTTTCCTCAAATAATCAAATATGAATATAAATTCATTTTTATGACAATAGTTTGAAAAAATCTTTTCTTTAAAATATAAAGGCTCTTTGTAGAAAGATAGAAATTTTTTTTCAAATATTCTGAAGCTATAGAATATATACATTATAACATATATAATATACAATCAGAAAAATATTTCTTTTCAAAGAGTGTCATTTTTTTAAAAAAAGATGCGATGTATATATTAATTTAAATTATAATTAAATCCTATCGCATTTAAATCAATGAAAAAGACACTAGGCACACGCATGCTTTACTAACGCACAAGGATGTGATAAGATCCTACTTCACATCATGCGTGATTTCGTATCGTAACGCTTTATGGCTTGGAACGCCTTTCCTATATACTAGAGACTTTCTACCATAATGACGCATGTCCTCTATTAATGATCAGTGACGTATCGAGACATTTTACAGCAATAATATACAGAAAATGAGCGACATTTATATCTTTATATAAACGATAAATCCAATTAAAAATCACATGTAACTACAAAATAATACGTAATCGAATGTAGTCACATGTAATCCAATGCGATGATACACGATTATATCGTAAATATAATTAAATCCATAATCAGTACAATTAATCCGATTATGAGCTTAATTTCACATAATGACTCTGATCTTCGTCAGGAAGTATATGCCGATTAAGTGCATTCCGATACGAATCTAGGTCAAAGCTAATTAAGGTATTAAAATTGTCTGTCTAAATTGGTCTTTAAGAGTCAATTCCTCCGATATGCGTTTTTAATTATAGTTTATATGTTCCTTTGTTTTTTCTCCAAATTCTATTTCCCTAAATAAAGAAAAAAAGATAATTTAGCTATGGATAAAATTAAGTCTTTAAAGTCTTAAAATTCACACGATTATGATATAAATAACGTCTCATATAGATTCTATTGTTTCCTCCAATGCTGCATATATGTGAGAATTCTATAATTCGGAACAATGTCGACACGCGCGATATGATGTCATTTTTTACGTCACGCAGATCGCGAAATCGACTTTTGCATGTTTCGATGATTACGCAATGCTCATACCGCGACATAATAATTCAAAATTATTATGCGAGCGTCAGCGTTGCGGAGATGTGCGTTGCGTACGATCGAATTGTACAATTGATCTGGGTAAGGAAAAATATCATAAATACAGTCTAATACCTCTGTGTATGCGTGCGTGCGTGCGTATTACGTGAAGAACGGCAGGTAGGAAATCTAGAGTGATGTAACATGAACATAAGAGCTAATTTTAAATCATGCTTCAACAAGAAATTTATAGAACACAAAGCAACATAAATTCATTTTTTTCTTGTAAATTATTTGAGATATCTGAAACAACTTTCTTTTTAAACTCATGTATTCCAAAATTAATTTTTTAAATCGCAATTGTATTACGCGCTACTCTTTACGATATTAGTCGCGAGATTAAGATTTCTTAACTTTCTAAAAGCGCTACACACCATTTCATCCGCGACAGTAATTGAAGATTAATAAAAAAAAATATATATATATGTTGCGTGTGTGAATTCTTTTCGTATAAATCCGGTACAGGTGATTCCAGTTCTCCCGGAAGTTTCAGATTGCGCATTCTTCGAGCGGGAAGGGAAAACGCTGCGCCGCGCTATAAAGTGAAAACGTGTCCATGGTGAAGCACCGACTGTAGTAGATGCGGGTCGTGCATACATTAGGGGTCTCATATAAAATCCATTGTTATCCGCACAATAGTGAACCAGTCGTAAAGAGGAAGCGGCGAATCAAACGGATAGCGTTCGTAAAATTCCGGGGTAAACGCAAGGAAAGTGTGTCGATGTCGCGTATTACAAGGCAGATTCGTTTCACGAGATTAGAATCAGTTAAAATTGACTCTATTGAACAAATTACTCTATTGAGCAATAATAAAAATAATACGTTATTGATAAAAAAAAAAAACAAAGGGAAACGCGCACTGATGTCTTATACCATAGATAGGAATGTAGCTAGATAAATATTTGACGTATATACAAAGATATGTACTTGAAACCTATCCGCTAAAAATTGCGGATGACAGGTGAAATTGCTATCCCAAAATCACCCGAAGCGAGAAGATGTCAAGATCGCAGCATCAATTGCTTTCTTACCCGACATGTAGCAGTAGCAGCATCCCGATCGATAAATCGCTTCGTTCTTATTAGTTTGACAAATCAAAGTAACCGCTTTCATTACCCCACATATCGGTATTTATTTTCGTGAAAGAACTAAACTAGTATATATCCTAGATTAAGTAATCGTGATAGATGATACTCCAGTCTTAACGATCTGATGGTGGACGCTGAAAATATGAAGACAATGCTTTCTCACCGGGATGACATAAACGAAAATACACTTGTGTCGGTACGTGTACCTGTTTGGGGGGATCGTGGGATCAGAGGAGACGGCGAGAAAAGGCGAGCGTATCGAGGCCGGATCGGTGAGAATCGATTCTATCGGTCGGTCGATCCGCGCGCGATACCGAAGCGAAGAAATTGTCCGGGTGGAGCAGAGAGAAGACTCTCGTCCACATTGTTTCTCGTGTCATTCGGCCGGAAAACAATCGAAATAATCGATGCGTTGCTCGTATCACTGCAATACCGTTCGTCGACCGACAATGCCTTATCGGTTTCGGCGTGCCGTATTCTTCCGGCGATCCGCTTCCGGTGGCTTCGATTTATTAGGCGCACGTGATCGAGCTTATCTACTCGCTGAACAAAAATTTAAGGTAATCGCTAATCGACGTATAATATGCAAAATGAGGCGAAGAATGCTATCGTAAAATAATAACGTGAAATACCATGAACGTATTTTAGAAATAAAAATTCTAATGATATCTTTAAAAAAATTGCTCTTATATCCATTAATTTCTATAATATTATTTAACACTATCCTATTGTGGTCCGCTGTTGGCATTCAATGAACTGACACACAATATAAATCATACCAAAGATATATTCCATATTTATCTCCCGCCTACATAGAATGTTTCAAAATTATCGATTACTCTTTTTAATAACAAACTCTTTGAAGAATCTGTTACTAAAATAATATTCGATGATTCTGGAATACTTTGTATACAAATTAGTTCTGAAATCAATCCGACAATTCTTGGAGATATATCCGTCAGATATACTTGGAATAATATTTTATCACGTGGGATTTTTGCGGATAATTTTATCACACTTTTATACACCGTGTCATGGGCCAACATCGAAAATCGAGGTCACGCATGAACGGTCGCGAGTGAACGCGCGAAAAATTTGAAGAAACCAGTCAACGACCGGTCCGGTGGCTTTTATCTTTGCCTTCTGGTATCACTCGCGTCGCGCGTCGAAAAAGGTACGAGGAGGGCCTACCGAGCGGTTACTCGGCATCGCCACCGACGCTAAAGGCTCCTCTTCCGGAATGGCGAAGAGCATATAACGCGTGTACAGTTAGGCGCGAGTCAACGATCTTGGCATGACGCCTCGTTTAGGCGAAACTAGATTCAAAGAGGGTCGAGAAAACGGCCGCGTAGCCGTCGTCCGTCACTTGAATCGCAAAATATTTCAAACGGTACGTTTCGCTGCGAAAATATCTCGATCGGATATGTAAATTCGGAAAACATCTTTCTATCCGTTTATTAATTCCGGCGGTTTTTCTCAGCGAATGATTTTCATTCAATTACAATCGAGAGACGAAATAAAAACTAGACTATAATTGTTAGGAAAAGAAAATAAACAAACTTATAGCTGAAATATACAGATTGTGTAAAAAAAAAAAGAAACATTTAATCGGAAATTATTTAAAACTTCATCTTGCTTTCATTTCGAGTCTTCGCGTTAAATTTCGAAAATTTAATTTCACTTGAAGAGATCGTGTTATATCTGAGTGTCATTAGCGGTAATGATCCTCTACGAGAAATTAAATATCGCAAAAAATTCTCGAGATGGCAGATATTGCTTGTCCCGGCTTGCCAATCAGATATCCATTCACCAAGAGGAGATCGTGAAAGCATGGCTACTTTACGACAACTCTTTCCTCCGAGCGATACGTCTTTCGAAAGTGGCATTTCGCGGATTAGGATTCGCTAAAAGAGTACCGTTGCAAGACCAACGAAAGACCGAGTACGCGCTCGCACATGCGAGCCCACGTACGGGTACAGGTAAAAGCATACCGCACACTGCGCCAGCTGCATTCTGGGTCGCATGCTTTTCGAGACGCGACGGGGCTGTGGGATCTTGTAGTACTGAGATAAATCCCAACAATAAGTCCCCATACAACGAAATATATACAATCCCGAAAGTATCTAATGAATGCATATCTTCAAGGATCCTTCGAACATCCTCCGTATATAAATGGAGACTAAATGAAGGATATGTTTTGTGATAATTAATTTATTATTTAGCTATCGGAGATACGATATCTTTAGAATATCATTAGAATATAGGCGAATGTCCTTCGAAATCCATTTAGTGATATGAAATTATTGCAGCAAAGAGATATCGTAAATTCTCACAGCAGCACATAATTATGAAGATGTCTCATATTGAATTTATGTTTCAAAAAATTAAAATTAAAAGATATAATAAAAAAGTTTAATTTTCCATTAATATCAGATTGATATTATTTTATCAGAAATTTCACTATTTTCTATTATCTTACATGATGGAAAATTTTAAAATTGAAAAGTTATAAATGATAACAAAATCTTTTATTTAGAAAACTTGACAGAAAATCTATTCTTCTTATTGTTAGTCATAAAATATTCAATATATAAAAATTATTTGCAATTTTTCTTATTTTATCCAAAGAATTTACAATTTTTCTCACATTTTTCTTCAATTCTCCTATTTTTCTTATATTTTTTTTAGTTTTTATTTTCTCTAAAAGTCTTTTATAAAAAATATAGCACGAAATTAAATTAAATGGTGGTATCTAATTCATTCCTTTATTTGTCTCTTGTGTAATCTAATAGCAAACATTCTGCTTTCAATTAAATTTCTTTAACATGTGTGTGAGAGAGAGACATGAAATTTCTCGACAGTAATATAAATGACACCATCTGTAGGTGTGATATGTTATTTCTCAGTTCACCGAGATTCCGTTTATTTCGCTTAGAATGCAGTGTGCTTCAATTCTGGATGTTGTAATCAAACGTTAAATAAACATTAATTCGCGTATCTCGCGGTCGATAGAATGAAAATGTCGATTGTTTTTTATGATTGACTAATTAGTCGTATATACTTTTCGCGTAAAATATTTCTTTTTTTTATAATTATAAATAAAGAAAGAGCAATTTGCAACCTCAAGATATTGATTTTAGAAAAAAAAATACTATTTTAAAATAGTTTTAAATATTAATAATTTTTAATTGTAAAAAAGAGGGACATGATATTATCAATGTTATAAAGATATTAATAAATCTCTTAAACGCACTACAATAGTAATTTTCTTGCCATTATGAGAGTAAAAAAAAGTTAAAAATTTATTTATAAATTTTATTATTTATTTATAGATTTTTTTTTCTTTTAATCCCCTTATTTGTTAATACCGCGAAATTGTGTTCCTATGTATATCGTACTTATTTGTACTTATTTTGTGCTTTTTTTACAGTCGAGACTTATTTGAGCCCTGTGGAGACGCATTGCATGAATATCGACTATTTTATTCCCGATGAAGAAAATCAGACGAGAGATTTTTCTGAGGACGCAATAACACGACTACGTAAGTATAGCAAAATTAAACAAATTCCATTCTTTGTCTTTTATCAATGAAAAATCAGCGCAACTTTAAAAATTAAATCAATTAATATTGATCACCACTTTTCTCTTTCGCATTATTAATTTTTTCTTCTAATATATCCGATCTCAATATACCTATATCTTAAGAAATGATTAAATAATCTCTATCGATATTATAAACTCTGTTTATAAAATAAGAAAGATATGTAAATTACTCAAATATATATCAGTTTTAAAAGGTTTGCTCGATTTATATTAATGTAATGAAATAAATATACGCGGGTGTCAAACTTTCTCTTAATATACTTAATGGAATGATCACACAAATATTTCATATTTTTATAATGACAAACAAATAATATCAAAAAAGTTGTCTTACTTATACAATACGTCTTACAAGTATAAATGACATTATAGATACTTTAGAATTCGGTCACGTTGCTATGTAGCGCAAATGGAAAGTTCGATTGCTGATAGCCAACATGGCAGCGAACGCGTGTATAATATAGTAAAAGACATGAAATATAATTGCCAGATTGTCATAAAAATATTTATTACAAATGCATGTGCAAAAAAGACATAACGCGTTTATTTTTTTATTGTCATAGATATGGGAAGATCTGTGATAGCTCTATTTATGATCGGCTTTCTTGCGATATTTTCGGCATTCTGGACGGGAGTAGTCGGGTGTTGGAGAAGATCACCAGGAAACATTACGGCCACGGCGATTCTGATGTTATTCGCCTGTCAGTATATTTTCCAAAATAAAATATCGAATTTTATACTGCATAAAAAAAAAATATAATCGGAATATACATATTTTTAAATGATGTAGGTCTACTGAGTGCTGGTGGTATGGGCTTGTGGCATGGCGTCGAATATTATGAAAAAGAGAAAATCGTCGGGGAGGAATATTATCAGAAATGGAGCACTGTAAGTGTTCTCAATTTTTCTTTTACAGTATTTTTTTATCATTATATAAAATTATCGATATAAAAACAATGTTCGCACATTTCGTCAAAATGTTAGGATTTATCGTTGACTATTATGTCGATCATAAACAAAAGATTAGAAATAATATACACCGGTATATTAATATCGGTCTGTTTAGATTATTTAGGTCGCCTCGGATTATTTTTACTTCGTTTTCCTAAATTATTTAAATTATTCACATGATCGCTTAAAAGTCAACTATAATTGATCAACATTAAAAAAAAACGTATATGTTATTAGTAAGCGAGATAAGCGAAAAAGATGCAAAGATTTTAGTACAAATTAAAATTTAATACTCAAATATAATTTTCAAAATAAAATATTTAATTTTTTGCAGAATTAAAGATTCTCAAATGATATATTGTATAGATAATTATGGTCCATTCATTTGAATAAAATAACTGATATAAAGAAGCGTTTCGCTTGTCCCGCACCGCGAAAAGATTCTTCCAGGCACACCGGACCGATCTGTCGCATCAAATATCTACATCAAATCCGAGGAACCGTATTTTGCCGGTGGCAGGGGCAATTATATACGCAGTGTTTTACAGAGAATTTTGCCCGCAGGTTTTAAGAGACAACACGGCGCAATGGTACGACTGGTCGTTTTATCTTGCCTGGCTGGGGGTGGCTACGTGTCTGGGCACGATGACGCTATTCCTGATCGCGGCATCCTGCCTGAGAAGGGAGCGTGCCCGCGAGCAGGCCCAGAACGTTCAGTACATTATGCCAGGTGACACGATAACCATGAAACGGCCGAACTAACTCGTCCCGTATCTCTTTTTTTTCTTTGTTATATACGCCCGGCGCGACACGACACGCCACGGCACGGCACGGCACGACATGGCACGCGGGGAAAAAAACTGTCTCTAGGTCCTGAAAGACAACTCGCTAATCTCGTACGACTGGTCGTACGTGGTCGCTTGGGTCGGCGTCGGTTGGTCGTTGGTCAGCGCGATCTTGTTTAGCGCCGCGGCGATTTGCTTGAGGGGCGAGAGAATGCGCGAGGAGGCGATGAACATGCAGTACCTCATGCCTGGTACATATTTAACACCTATTGCTTTCGCCCGTTACGTGCACGCGGCATCCGACTATCCTAATCATCCAGTGATTACATACTTCAAAATTTTTTATTTCTATTTTTATTTCATTTTTTGGGGAAGTCCGAAATATATCAATAAATATCGATACTCCAATATTTCTTTCAACATTCTAACTACATTTTTATTAAATATATTATCGATATTATTAATTAGATGAATATGATATATAACAAATAAATTATAATCTCTTATCTGCAAATATCATTTAAAATCACAATAAAAATCACTTTTCGTTGAATAAAATCCCGAGAAGTAGTCGGAACCCGCGTGCATTGAATGTTCTACTAACTTTAATTTTTATGATCATCAAGCATGATCGCAAGGAACATGTTCCTTGATATGAGGATAACGATCATCTCGTCATCATACTAACTGGATTTATTCGAAGGAGGAGCGTCAATGCGGAAGCGACGATGTTATCAAACTCGTTTTGAAACTCACAATCAGTTATTTTTATAAATATTTAATAACATATTATGAATAGTTTACGTCAAGCGCTTCCGTATTAACGCATAATAATTATTATAAACACAATTTCCGCATTAGGTCACTTACTTATATGGATATTTTTATTTATAGAAACAATATATATCCGTAATAACTATTATTTTTAAGGATTTTAACTTATTCCAATTGCGAATAAATAATCTTGTAAAATATATCCAAGATTCGAAAAAAATGCATAGACAATAATCATGAACTAATTGAATGACAATACACATAGTGCAAGACGAAAACAATCTGATCGCTTATTTAACTGTAACAAACCGAAAGTTTTGTCGATCCCAATAATGCCTTGTATATAAGAAGATTGATCCCTACTGTTCGAATAATATAAAATTAACCCTGTCGGTGACAGAGTCGGTAATGTTTTGAAAATATTAGCTGCGAACTTGTAAATATGAAAAACGAGGCCACGTGAAACTAGTTCGATGAATATTAACTCGAAATTGCATGCCGAGATTTTAAAGTCGGTCTTTGCGCAATTTTCTAAGCTAAACCGAAGAGTGAAGCCATGCGGAAAATTACTAGCTAGTCGATTATTTAAATGATTTTTTAAAATTAATTAAATTATCTCGGTACATATATTTCAATATTACCGAAGTCTTATATTTTAGTTAAGATTAAATGTCCAGCGTTTTGATTAAAAGGGAATTTAGATTTACGGAAAGGGATAAATATAATTGACTATATCGATAAAATGGCAAATATAATGCGAAACAACAAAGTTAAATTTTAACATTATTTAATTTAGTATTTTCCATACTTTGGTCAGATCAAAAGATATATCTCGCTACTTTTATTAATAAATTTTTCTCATAAATATTATTATATCACACAACCGTATAATTATCGATAATAATATGATATAATAATAATGCAATCAAGATTCTAATCGATAGAGTAGATAGATCAATTATCAAAGTGTATTGATGCGATGATGTGTGGCAACGGCCAATATTCATTCTCGCGAAACTTTTACTTGTCCGCCTCACGCTCTGTTTGTGCTATTGTGCTATTGTGATTAAAGTATTTTTGTCACGCTCTAATCCTGAAAGAAACTTTCTAGTTCTCCTTCGGATAATCGATCGAGCTGCAGAATGCATCTAGCATCTTTTTTCGAATCCATTTTGAAACTTTAAGTATTCGCTTAAAGATTCGCATACTGTATCTTATAACTTATATTTTCATCTCGCTGTTTTTTTTTTTTTCATTGAATAACGTATAAAAAAATCTTTGAAATATAAAGATATTTCTCTCTCTATTTTCCGTTATCTAGAAGCAAAAAAATCAATCTATTTTTACCGATCGCAAAAAGTAACGATTTTGTTTTATATAAAATTTATATATACAATACGACACTACAATTGTAGAGTATATTAGTTCTACTATCTAATCATCTCAAGATTGCATCAAAAAAAAAAAAAAAAAAAAAAAAAAAAAAAAAAAAAAAAACGCACACACAGAGAAATACGCCTAATTATAAATATGACTTTTCTTTTTTTAACTTTCATCGTTTTTCATATTAAATCTTTGAGTTTAGGAAAGTTGGACCTATAATTATAAACGTTTATGCACGATAGTTCGTCCATTTTTCCAAGAAAAAACAAAAAGAAAAAGAATGGAAAACCGGTAATATTATCTAAAATCGAAGTAATCGCTCGAAAGCGACACACTTGCCTAATTTTCCATGCATTCATCGACCTTTTGCCATAAAAGAATTTCCGTATTTGCGTATTCAGTCCCGTACGCCGACCGATCGATGTCGGAATTCAATTTACGCAGGACGAAAGACAAACGTGTCTCGTTTCGCAACATCAAATGTATAATGTCTTTCTTCAAAATCAGTAAATATTTAAATTTATCTGAACAATAAAAACATGTTCTTCAATAAATTATACTAATTTTTCGAAAGTATATATATTAAAAATAAAAATTTAAATTGATTAAAATATATATAATATATAACAAAAAATATATTTAAAAAAATAATAAAATGCCCATCGCTTAGGAGTTAAGCATCAAAGTTAAAAACTAAAATAGCTTTGTCATATTGTTTTGTCTTGTTTATTTGATAATCTAATTTAACTCCAACATTCTTCATTTATTGAAAAGTGTCAGATTAAATCTAATCTCTTTTCTCGTTTTACCAGTGTATCCGCAGAAGCAGCAATACGCGTACGCCGGATATCCGGCACCGGCGGCGTACCCAGGGCCATACTATCACGGTTCCCAATATGGGCCTTACAACTACTGAAGGAATTCGGCCGGTCGGTCGGCATCGAAGGAAAGAAAATAATCCAGGCGCGCTCGTCGCCATCATCGAAAAAATTCACTATCATGGCACTTAGGACGAGGACGAAAAATATTCAATATAAAATCTGAGAGACTCGCCGAGATCGAACCCTGATCGCGCCGCAGGGTGCAAAGGATATATCGATTCGAAGGGCCTCCGATCTCAGGCGTAACTTATCTCTAATTAAAAATTCGTGGCTCTTCGAATGTTGCTCCGAAATGTGGATGTTGCCACGATATTCCCAAAAGCAAGCTCTTTTCTTCCCGCGATAGTCCGATCGTTTGGTTCCATCTGACCGGAAGCAAGAACCCAAACAAGACGAAAGATCAAAAGACGTTTGAGAGAAAGTTTCTAAAGAAAACCTGAAAAATTCGGGAACGCTCCTTGGACTTTCTTACTCGCGTCTTTTAAACGTTCGTATTGTCTGGGAAGCATTACTTGCGCGAAACGGTTGCTCAAAATCCGCGTACTTATATTTAGGAGTGAGAGATTATTTTGTATTTTTTTCCAATTCAATAAGTAAGCGCATCGATTATCCTTCGCGCATCTTTTCCGCGTGTGCTAATCGCAAGGAAATGAATTTGCGCTCGCGAGAGATATGCGTTTGTCGTTTTCATCTGACCGGACTCCAATGATTGATTTCACCGAGCTTTCTCGAATTCTCATTAACGAACGTTAGATCGATGATTCATTCATCACGGTAACGGTTCCACAAGAAGAGAAGGTCCAACAGAAAACTCATTCGAGCGCTCGTCACGGATTTAACGGACGTTAATCGCCTCGAGGAAACTTGATAAAAACAGTCGCGAGTTTTATAATTGAATTGATTGATCACGTCGATCAAATTGAGATCTGCGAAACTTGGCTCGCGTTGACGCCGCATTTATCTTTATTTATTTAACGCGATCGAAGCTCAAATCTCTCTCGAAGAGAGGACGGCCGTTGTCGAATTGCGCGAGCAAAGTGGAAACGTTCGTATGAACGCTTTCACTTCTTGGTAGTACCACATATTAAATAAATATATCGACTCAACAAACGCAAGAAGAAAGAGATTAAATTGCGATTTTGCAAAAATATTCGTTCGTGTTGTGAATTTAATTTAAATCTTTCTAGTCTAACAAAAGATTAGATTAACCGATAGATTTCGGTTGAAGATATTAAAAAAAAAAAAACAATAGTTAGGATATATAAGGTATGATTTGGAAGAAAACTGTAATATTTCCAGTTTTCCCTAAATTATCTTATATTGATTGTATTATTTCAATGAGAATCTATTGTTCTAGAGTGCTGTTGAAACGCGTACTTAATAAATTAGAAATTCGACATTTGAAAAAGTTGAAGCTACTTTCTTGAACACATATCGTAACATGACATAAACATTTATATAATATATGGTGCTGCTAGAATCGTTAATAATTTGTTAACGAATTCGAAATTTGTTTAGTATGTAGCTCTTTTGATAATGTCGATTTATAAGATTCATGACATCGATATCACTATTGTATGTAAGATGTTTAAGAAGTAAGAAAAAATATACTCTCTCTCTCTCTCTCTCTGTCTCTCTCTTTCTTCAATTATTTTATATATTCTATTTTTCAGTAAATAAACTATATCGACATCATTTTCTCTCTCTGTCTTGCGTCTTCCATACACAAATAGGTCTTGTCTCGACTTAAACTTCTTCTTCTAATTTATCTATTGTCGTAATTTCTCTTGTCAGTTCTTTTTAGGAACAAGAGCAAAGCAATATTTCTTAAAAGAATAAATTATGTATATTGTGCAGATTATTATTGCAAAAATTAAGATTGTATTGAAATTAAAAATGCACTGTTAATTATATTATAATCGCGTAATGAAGCTAGATAAGATTTAAGAATGAGTGTGTAAGTATAAAAACATTAAGGAAGCGAAAAATTGGGTACAATGAAAACAACGAAAATTTATAAAATCTTAGATATTAAATATATAAAAAATAGAATAAAGAAAAAAACATATATATAAAATATATAATTAATATTTAAAACCTCTCTTATTTCCAATCTCCAACGAGCTTTTAATTCTCCTATTACATTCAAGCATTGTCAGTTATTAATATAGTTATAAAATATATATTCTCTCTCTCAGGTACTATACTTATAAAAGAGAGGAAAAGAAAAATTATTGATTTGCGCATGTAATAGCAGCAACCTAATTAAAAATTGGTCTCAAATACTGGGTATAAAATTAAAATAAAATTAAGCGTAAGCATGATATAAATGTAATTAAAATTAAAAACCAAGTATAAAGAAAAATAAGTATGAAAGTTAATAAGCAAACATTCATAAGTAATCATATACCGTTAACAAAAATCGAATATGTATATATATGTATATAAAATTTATAAATTGTTATTTAAATTAATAATTAATGGTTACATTCGGTAGAAAAAACAATTTTGCAAATTTCAGCATTTAGCATTACTGCATTTCTTTATTGCATTCATTATTCGTGAGATTATCGTTACATCTTGGTAGCATGTGTGAATGGATACTTCTTTATATTTAATGTTTCAATATTAAAAGAGATAATTCAGCAAAATCTTTATACAAAACTAATCGTACTTCGAACGAAACGCAATGTTAGCAGCCATGCTGCTTCTCAACATTTGAGACCAATCCCTGATAGACCATCCACTGCGCATCCGCGAAGCTACACACACACATATTAGGTTTATTCTTTGTAGCTGCATATATATTACACTTTCTGCACTCAGAAATGAGATAGAACAAAGCTTCGGAGACAAAGAAAAGAAGGATGAAAAGTACAAAAAGTTCAACTACGAAGAACAGACCTCTCGTTACATCATCTGATCGGTGGCTGCGCTCACAACTCACAATCAGTCGACGCGTGACTATCACGGAGTGAGGATATGTTCGAGGTCACGCTATATCTTTTGCTAGCTGTCACCGCGTCATCATGCGCGGCCGAGCAGAGTAATCGGAAGGATATACCTTTCACGAGAGAGAAAGTATGTAACGCATATATATAAATGCCTCTCGTTGCACATAGCTGTTTCGCAAAAAAGAACAGCTTCCTCAATATTTTTACCGCTTCCTCTCTTACTTTCTCTAGCCATTATCATGCTTTATCACCAGTCTTATGTCACTCTTGATGAGTGTTATTATTGTAAATGATTTCTAGTATTATCATATGCCCGGCCGGTTGACAAATAAACAAGTTGCCACGTTATCTGATCTCAGCAATGTTACTCATATGAACGAGATCTTGGACAACATATGTGTAGTAAGGATCGTGGGGACTCCCGAACACATAAGTGTGCGAGAGGTAAGGAAGAAGCAGGGAATTTCCAAATTTTAAACTCTGTTAATCTCCTTTCAAGAATTTAACGGAATAATAATATAAAAAATTTCAAATTATAAATATATGAAAACTAAATAAAGTGGAAATAAACTAAAAAGATTAATGTTGATAATGTTATGCTAATAATCTATTTGTGCAATTTTTAAATTAATATTTATAAAAATCACACACTAAAAAAGTTGATAAATATTTTCTTATCGTAATATTGAAAAATCAAACTTTGACGTATATGCAAATGTAATGCTCTGATGTCATAGACATAACATCTAATCTGCAAGAAAAGCAAAACAGTATTTTTTTTTCAGTATATCAAGCGGTCATTGAGAGATCTAGGTTGGACAATAGAAACAGATCTATTTGAAGCCAATACACCGATATTTGGCAAACTGGAGTTTGAAAACATAATAGCGAAATTAAATCCTAATGCAAAAAGATATCTAGCATTAGCTTGTCATTTTGATTCAAAGTATACAAGAGAGGGAAATTTTGTTGGAGCCACAGATAGTGCTGTACCATGTGCTCAACTGATTAATCTAGCTACTGTTATGACCAGATATTTAACTAAACAGGTAAATGACACAAGAAATGATAAGATGGACTATATGGAAAATCTTTATAAAATCTGCATTTATATCATGTCTGTATTTCACAGGAAGATATCAGTTTGATGTTCATTTTCTTTGATGGAGAAGAAGCATTCGAGGAATGGGGTCCAAACGATTCTATTTATGGTTCCAAACATTTAGCTGAGAAATGGCATAATAATAAGACTGCTTATGACAAAGAAAATTATATCTCTGAATTGGATAAGATAGTATATATCTTAATTTATATGATACTGTTATTAAAAATGTGTTGTATATGTGTGTGTATGTAATATTAGTATAATAGTTATTAATTATGATATTTTTGTTTCAGGATGTGTTAGTTCTCCTTGATTTATTGGGCGCACCAGATCCAAGTTTTTACAATTATTTTGAAAATACCGAGAAGTGGTATTCTTTTTTAGTCAATAGCGAAAAGAAATTAGCCGACATGAGAAAATTGGAATCTTATTCTTATGGCAAACCGAAACAGAATTATTTTCAACCATACTCTTTTCAAGCAAATATCGAAGACGATCATATCCCTTTTCTAAAAAAAAGTGAGTAGTGAATTATTTCTAACATATGAAAATCATTTTATATGCATTCCATCTAAACTGTTTTTTTTTTGTTTTTTTCTAGATGTGCCTATTCTGCATATAATACCGATTCCGTTTCCATCTTTTTGGCACAAACCGAGCGATAATCGACATAATATCGATATGAAAACCACGGAAAACCTTAATAAGATACTGAGATTGTTTGTGGCTTCTTACTTACATTTGTCGATTTCCTAACGGAATCAAAAAGTATTGTACGTTTCTTGGAGAAATAGTTTGGGAGAAAACTTAACATTACGTATTTTAGATATTTCTCTATTGTTGGTACAACAATTTATATTGTTGTACCAACGATATTAAAAGAAATACATAGTGTTAAGTTTACAAAACATGACATATCTACCAAAAGAAAATAATTTTCATTCCAAATAATGTAAATATATCTGAAAAATTAATGTTTCTTATATATAACTATCTATGTTTTTTATGAATGTTTATCGTTTGGAATCTCTGTTTTGCTATGCATTTTTCTTGATACAAAATTTGTATCATTCCCTGTTGATATATTTGTATAATTGTATCATACGTAATATATCATATGTAAACATTAATTTATTATGTGAATGCGATTGTACAGTATTATTATAAATAAGAAATTTCAAATTTATGTAAATAATTAACAGATCTGAAATTCTATGTAATTTTATACGTAAACACTTTCAAATATGTTTCAAAATATATGTTTTGTATTTTCAAATTATCTAAATTGCTTATAATTTGTAAAGAATTTATTTCATTCACGTCTCTCTATATATAATATTTGTCGCACAAATATAATAAAATATATAATTGCATGCATTTTTCTTTAAAAAGAAAATATTACAAGACAATTTGGGAGTCATAAATGTGTTGTGTAGGAAATTACGGAAACTCGACTGCGTGACATCCTGTTACGCGCTTGGAATGAATATAACACGACCATACATGTTTCCATATCCATCTCGTATACATACACGATACATATACAGGTACAGTCGAAACTGATTGGTATTTCAATTAATTTGGCACAAGTGTTATATATTTGTCTGCTCAAAATTTAACGATGCTATTAAGATAACAGATTTCATATTTCGACCTTGAATTCTGTGTGTTTCATGTGATTGTTTTAATACAATAAATTATATCGCGTATATAGTCAATGATAATAATATTTATTTTCCATATTATTTAAACAAATATGTCATATTAATGTGATAAAAATCGTTTCGAGAACTTTACATCGCTGTTACTATCGAAGAAAAGAATAGAATTCTGGCGGGAAGGTTGGTAACAGGTCGTTGATATTTGAAAGTTCCAATAAGGCGCGTAGAACGAATTCATATCAAACAGAAACGTATAATCGTACAATTGCGACATTACGAAAATATTCAATAAATCACAAAAATATAACATATCCTAGCCGTATATATGACAATAACACACAAGTTATTACATATATACAAATAATTATTGATGCGCAATGATTAACAACAACACAAGTATTCGCGTATCGATATGTACGAATATTTGCATCGTTTTTTTCGATCGTGAAAAGACCTACTTGAATGCCATGTGTCGCGTGTACCTCGTCGCTCGAACGTGAGATTAATCGTTGTATCAAAATCTCTGGAATGCGTAAGCGTAGATAAATGAATGTGTCACGCAAAATCCAGACGAGACGAGAGGAATCGGAAAACACGTTCGAACATTCCTTCGGTCACGGCGGTAATGGCGGCTAAAGGTCATCGTTCGTTCGGGCGGATCCGCCGAGCGCTGCCGAGAACGGCCGAGTGCCGCCGAGCGCCGCCGAGCGTCGCCGCGTACGGCCATGCGCAGCCGAGCGCCGTCGAACGTTGCCGAGTGGCGCCGAGCGCGGCCGAACGAGCACGGAGTAACTGGTAGGGAAGAGCCGACGCGACACGACGGCGAGAGACGCGTTATAGCCAGCGACGTGGAGTGATCGCGCTTCGTCTCCCGTGTCCGCGTTTCGATGCTTTTACGTTCCGTTACGGCATCCCACGTCTCGCCCGTCGCGCCACCATCATCATATATTCCGGATTTCGTACTCGACCAGCGTAGTGTATTCCGGCAAAAGCGTCTTTCGCGAGTGTGCGGTGATACGCGAAGCGGCTGACACATCGCGTTCTCTCGAGCGCGTCGAGTCCCCGCCGTGTCGTAAGTGAGTGAAGGAGAAAGGAAGAGCGCGAGCCGCCGAGAGAGAGAGGAAACGCGGCGATACGGGAGGATAACGAAAGAGACAGGGCCACTGACGTGTGCGGGCGTGTATCGGAGCGTGCGCGCGCCCGCGCGCCATCGTGAGAATACAGACGCACACACGCAGCATCCTGTCGGATAAATAACGCGGCAGCGTAACCGGGCGCGCGCCGCCGGCATCCACATAGCGACGTTCATTCAACAATGCATTAATTACGCGCTCGCGACAGTTGAAACGTGCGTGTCGGTTTTATACGTGTGACGTGCGACGTGCGACGAGCGATATATCCATTCGTTTACGAAGAAAGTGAAACAACGTGCCGAGTCGGAGGTTAACGGCGAGTCCAAGATGCTCAAGTTCATCAGGGGGAAGGGCCAGCAGCCAACGGCCGAGCGGCAGAAGCTACAGAAGGATCTCTTCGCTTTCAGAAAGGTAAGAAAGAGAGAGAGAGAGAGAGAAAGATACATTTGCACTCGTGAAAAAATTTTCGCCCACACCCGGTGCGAGAATGGGCGCGGGATGAATACCGATGGCGATGTTGCCAGGTCATATAGTTTGATCAAAATCATTCGGATTAATCATTCAAGACAGATTTTGAATGAATCATTCTTAAGATCGTTTATAAGATTTTCAAACAATTTTTATAATAAAGACGTTATTCAAATATCCTGTGCCGGTAACCAAAAAACGATACGATAAAACCACATGTGTTTAAAACATCATCGTATAATTTATAATATATATATAATGAAAATCCATTTTTTCGATTTATCTCTTAAACTTTTTCATTCGTTGAAATAAGGTATTAAAATCTTTTTTGCTCTCTCATATTTTTAATAGCAATGAATTTAAGATTGCGGGACTCTATAGGTTATAGTATATACTCTTTATAATTTATAATATATTTTTTCATTAAATCGTGAGGAAGATTTCGTTCCTCCACTAACAAAAAATTAAAATTAAAATTTGTAAATCAGAAATAGGTGATTTTTAAATGATTTTTGAAAATGAAATATTTTATTTTTAAAATGGCACAGAGACTCATATTATATTCCTAAACTGTACTAATTTATCCAATCTTGATTTTCAATCTAGACATGTATATAATTCCATTGGAATATTATTAAATTTTCCAATATTTGATGTAAACAAGAATTAGAGTAAAGCTGTAAAAAAAATAATAGGTATTAAAACGTAAACATTTGTATCGGTTTTTCTTGAATGCGCAAAAATATAAAAATTTATAAAAGAAAATAGGTTTACTTTTTTTTATTTCAACAATTATTAATTATAAAGTTCATGATGCGCGAAAAAATTTGCATTTTTGGCAACGAGTAGCTGGCAGAAACAGCGAGGAGTCCCCGCGCACAGACAGGTTTGACAGCGATTCGTTTCGCCGAGAATATCGGGTTACCATTTATACCAATGGTATCTTTTTATTGTTTGCTTGTATTCTCTCTCCTTCTCTCTACACGTTACTGTTAACTCGCGAGAAAGATGCATTCACACACTCATATATTTTCTATGATTGATTTATAATTCTCTAATAAGATTTTGCTTGGAATATTCTTGTGAATCTTCCAACAGCAAATTTACGAATCCGTTATTATAATACAGGGTATCATAACGGTTTGTCATTGGTGATCACAATTTTATTACAGGATGTGCCAGAAAAAAAGCGATCATAACCTTAAGAAATTTAGAGTTCTTTCTTAATAAAAATACAATCAAATTGAGTGTGATATCAATCATGATTTATAAAAATCTATATTTGTCATAATTTATCGCAACATATTCGCGCGATAATCTAATAATAAATGTCTAATAAAATTTTTTTAGGAATAATATACTTCATAAAAAATTAAGAATGAATAATATATGTATTATTATTTATTCATGTCTTTTATTTGCGAAAAATTGTTCCTTAAATTTTTATTAGCAAAAATTTATTTTAGAGTCGAGTAACTGTATACATATGTTGATTCTCTGCCAATTTTGAGATATTCTGCATTATTATACCGTGTAATGGGTTTATTTCGTGTCATCATTACATTACCGTTTATCAAGAATCGTTGTCGTAGCAACAGATTGCGGATCTAATTGAAATCTGATATTAATCAAATGTACGCTACATTTATTTCTACCGCATAATATGATACATATAATATTTTAGTTTTTATTTCTTTCTTGTTGATTAAGATATATTTTAGTACATAAAATATCTCTCGCCTCGCGTAACAAAATATTTATCTAATAAATTATTAATGTGGTACATTATATATATTATTCGTGCGCGCGTGTGTCTGCATAGAATAATTATTCTACTTTGCAGTGCATAATGAATTTATCTATATATCTCATTTCGTACTTTAATACACATGCATCCCGTTATTTATGCGGAGTTGCTGAAAGTTGAAAGTAGAGAAAAATTGAAAATATAGCTGTGTCATTCTTTATGCCATCGATTATCTCGTCGAGATAAACGAACATTCAAACGATGAGCGGATTTTTGCGAAACGTCGATCGGCACATAAAAGTATTATATATAATATGAGGTATTTGCTGAAACGTTACTCGACAAACGGCCAATCACGTGTAAAAATATTTGCACTTAACAGACGTTGCACCGGTTCGTTAATTCGCGTTATTTATTCACGAACGTCATTCGATTCCGTTCGACCGTAGATATTTGTGCATCGATCGTAAATGTTCAGTAATTAGGTTACTTTAAGAACTGACGATATTATCTGATGTATCAGAATGTGTTTGCTTACTTACGAAACGTCATGAATTTCATACAACGAGAAAAGAATGTGATTTGAAAAATGTATCGAAGAAAACTGTCAAAATTAATTGAAAATATTTCGACAAATTAACTTAATAATTTCGTCATACACTTTTTTCTGAATTTAAAAATTAAAAAAGTTAAAACTATAGAAAAATGAAGAAAGTAATAGACACAGTTTACATAATTGTATGCATAAAGAGTTTCAATTGTTGCAGAAACGAAGCATATTCAAAATTTGATTGATTTGTAATAAACTTTTATAATAAGTATTACTTTAGTACTGTAAATACCTTTCATGTATATTTAGATGAATGTTTTGCAACCTCTCACTTTTCTAATTACAATCCTTCTATTAAGAGATGTGGTCGCGTCTTGGGCCATTAAATTTCCACTGACAAGGTCGGCTTTATATTAGAAACTGTTAAAAGTTTTCTTCGTTAGCAAAATAATGTACCTAAGATAACCAGTGTTTTATGCTTACATATTATATAATATTAATTAAAATATTTATTTTATTTATTTTGTTTCTAAAAATAAAATTTGCCACAATTACATAACATAGAAATAATTTCATTATAGAAACAATTCCAAGAATCAGTTTTTTTTTTTTTTTAAATTAGGTATAATTCCTTATGTTGCCATTACAGCAAAGATAATCATTGAATAACAATTTTAAAATACTTTTTGGAATACAAGAATTTCAGTGAAAACAGACTGAAGTTTTAAATCAAACATCTTAAAAATGATAGTTGCCTTATATTGCAATAATCTTTAAATCGAAATTTGTTTCCGAGACATTGTTAACATTATTATTAAAATTATTTTAATGAAAAACAAAATTTCAGCGACATGATTAATAAAATTCGACTCGGCTCGGAAGGAATTAGTTTCCATTTAGCATTTTTGTATTTTATGTATGCGGATAAGGTATTTAGAAACGACAAAAGAATAACCATTAGTTGATGTTAGGTAACGATGAAAAAGATACTATTAAAAGATAGCATTCGGCTGATAAATATATAACGGGTGTTGTGTAATCGTTGGTCTCTGTTGAACATGGCATTTTTTTGCTATACTCTATTAGATGCACAATCGAATATTTGATGAACGTCATTTTATTAGACGCATTTCATTAGGTATACAAAAACCCGTAGTAGATAAATTCCTGCCGATGTGCCTGTGCAATCTGCAGGAAACGTCGAATTCTCTTATCAGTTGTACAAGCGACTGAGAACGGCTTTTCGAGCGAATTACACGAAATCAACAAGTCAATATTGCACCTCCAACGGAAAGAGAGGAAAGCGTCAAAACTATAAAACTATCATTATCGAGTTAGAAGTATTAATCACACACATTTACAAATTTAAAAGTTGGTTAATGTACAAAATAATATCAACATTTTTAACAATATCAATAAGTACGATAAGATGTTTAGATGATTAGATGTTTATATTATTTATTGATTATAAAAACTAGAAATGATGCAATTATTTTTCGAACTGTTGTTCACAATATATATAATTTGTTGATATTAATGAGAAATAAATTAATTGAAGCTTCTCTTTGTAATAAGAATTTGATAAAAGATTAAATTATTTATAATAAATAAAATTTTTAGAAAATAAAATTGTTTTATTTTATATAATTCCTTATGTTGCCATTACAGCAAAGATAATCATTGAATAACAATTTTAAAATACTTTTTGGAATACAAGAATTTCAGTGAAAACAGACTGAAGTTTTAAATCAAACATCTTAAAAATGATAGTTGCCTTATATTGCAATAATCTTTAAATCGAAATTTGTTTCCGAGACATTGTTAACATTATTATTAAAATTATTTTAATGAAAAACAAAATTTCAGCGACATGATTAATAAAATTCGACTCGGCTCGGAAGGAATTAGTTTCCATTTAGCATTTTTGTATTTTATGTATGCGGATAAGGTATTTAGAAACGACAAAAGAATAACCATTAGTTGATGTTAGGTAACGATGAAAAAGATACTATTAAAAGATAGCATTCGGCTGATAAATATATAACGGGTGTTGTGTAATCGTTGGTCTCTGTTGAACATGGCATTTTTTTGCTATACTCTATTAGATGCACAATCGAATATTTGATGAACGTCATTTTATTAGACGCATTTCATTAGGTATACAAAAACCCGTAGTAGATAAATTCCTGCCGATGTGCCTGTGCAATCTGCAGGAAACGTCGAATTCTCTTATCAGTTGTACAAGCGACTGAGAACGGCTTTTCGAGCGAATTACACGAAATCAACAAGTCAATATTGCACCTCCAACGGAAAGAGAGGAAAGCGTCAAAACTATAAAACTATCATTATCGAGTTAGAAGTATTAATCACACACATTTACAAATTTAAAAGTTGGTTAATGTACAAAATAATATCAACATTTTTAACAATATCAATAAGTACGATAAGATGTTTAGATGATTAGATGTTTATATTATTTATTGATTATAAAAACTAGAAATGATGCAATTATTTTTCGAACTGTTGTTCACAATATATATAATTTGTTGATATTAATGAGAAATAAATTAATTGAAGCTTCTCTTTGTAATAAGAATTTGATAAAAGATTAAATTATTTATAATAAATAAAATTTTTAGAAAATAA